AATCGTCCTCAAAGCGACCATCAATCACCATCACAACACCAGACGCCCAAACAAAACTCACATCATCACCAACCAAAAGGACAACACCTATTACAACAAAACCAACATTGATTCCATCCGAACTGCACTTGTAGCTAGCCAGTACGGTAGCATGACAATGCCATGCACCAGCCCACAACGTACCCGCCCACGAAAATTGCAATATCAGAGGAACCTTCCAAAACAATTAAGGATCCTAAGAGATCCATGACCTCATCATGGCCCAAAACCAATAATCCAGCACCATGGCAACGCCAAAGGACTCACCTCATGAGAGCCTAAACAAAAGGTGTCTCACCACCTACCTCAAACCAATGCTAGGTCGACAACAACCTATACTACCATAAAACCATGTGGATAATCACCAACAACCTCAATGAAGAATGCCAAAATGAAACCAATTTCACCAACCATCGTACTAAGTGAAAACTCACCAAACGACTCAATCTCAAATCAAACATCCTATGACTAATCCCAAGTCCTGCCAAATATGCAACACAACAATGCATATACAATTCTAATCTAGCACATATCACATGTCATGCTCTTTACATTAGAATAAAATCATGCTTAAACAAACGGCATACTACATATACCACATAAGCACATAAGCATATAAACATGTTATCAAACCAAAAAATGTTATCATGAAGCATATAAACATATAGAGCATGGCAACATAAGCATGATATGCACCCAAAACCCTTCGTCCAAGGTATTTAAACCTAGGAGCTCTGACACCACCTGTGACGACCTTGGATTTTTCAACCTAGTGTGTCCTATGATGACCCAAAACGGATCCAAAATGCAGAAGCAAAAGATAGAACAATGGTCTCTAGAGATACAACACTCCTATAAGACACCAATGTGACCCTAAACGAGGTCATGAAACCCAAAGGAAGAAAATACGGAAGCAACATTTCAAAAACGGATAAGAATGAACCTAGGGGCAAAATGGTCATTCCACACTAAAATGGGTGCCACTGTGCACACCATTGGAAAGACAATGAAAAATTAATGAGGATAGACTCAAGAATCACTTGATTTGGAGTCCGAACGGTAAAGATATCAAGTTATGAAGTCGAAGGAAGGGAAACCCTATCCCAGTTCGAACCAAAAACAGACATTACCTTACTAAAACTTGAATAACTTAAGCCACAAGAATAATCTGAAGCTCTAATTAGTACCATTGGAAAGCTTATTTCGACGCGATCAATTTAGACTCAAGAACGGACCAATTCGGAGTTAAAACGAAGAAGTTATGATGATTTGAAGTCGGATGTGCAATGCTGAACCAAGACACACACACCTGTTAATAGTAATTTGAGCGCTCGAACAAGGACTTCGAGCGCTCGAAAAATGCCCTAAGAAATCTGCCCAAAGTTCGAGCGCTCGAACTCCCCCTTTAGAGCGCTCGAACTCCCCCTTTAGAGCGCTCGAACTTCTATGGCTGCTCTTGAAATACTGACTTGAAATGCAATTTTGAGGACTTTCTGGGCCTTTTTGAGAAAAACACAAAGAAGAAACTACCCCCAAAATCATGTTTTCTAGCCAACCATGCCAAAATAAAACTTTATTTTTCAAGTGAAAACCCTTCAATGCCCTTATGCTCAGTTTAGGCTCAAAACGGCAAAAAAATGTAAGTTTGCACCAAACATACTTTTGACCCCAAATGCACTTCTAGGCTGAAATGAATATGCACGCAAACGTAATAAGTGATTTTGAGCACACGAAAATGGTCCGCGGCTCCCGAAAACGACCGATGCAAAATCCGACCCCCTGACGGCCAAAAAGGCGAAAATGAATTTGAAATGGAAATTTTGAAAACCAAAATTAGCAAATGGTTGGAAATTACCATTTGGCCCTTGGCCGCACTTCATGCATGATTAATGAGATCCTACAGAAGAATCAAAACGGAACTCCCACACCCGATGCAAACATAGTGAGACAAAACTTAACATTTTTTCAATATTCTCATGATATTTCATGAAGTCAAAACTACATAGAATACAAATACATGTCATTGGCCTCCGGCCTCATCTTATACATGTCAAATACATTATAAGGAGTGCACTCATGTACACATTACATGTTTAAATTCAAATATACATATTTTGACATATAAGGCTACAAATGGCTTTTCAAGCCAACCTTTACAAGAAATGCAAATCTTCAAGTCCACCAATCATCCAAGCATGACGAGAATCACAACCTTGATTCATGTACCTGAAATATGCCCCAGTATCGTAGGGATGAGCAACATAAAGCTACTCGTAAGAAATGAGCATGCATCGACCTACGTTTTATAAGTTTGTATAATTTAATTATTGTGGTTCATTCCACCTAACGTCTATGTCAAAGGTGAGACTCAAGGAGCATCCTAGCTACCTAGGATCATTTCTAGCATCAATCATATCATTCATGCAATTTTAGCAACATAGGGTCATGCTTACACAAAGCAACAACATAGGAGCATACTTACACAAAGCAACAACATATAGATTCTCAAGGTAATCAACTTGAAGTCTAAAATGCAACATCAACTATATATAACAATTTAGCATAATTAGAATATCTAATACCACACATCAAGACATAGGTTCTCTAGGTTATCAACTAGAAATCTAAAAGTGTGAAATCAACTAAATATATCAATTTAGTATGGATGTACTTAACAACATCAAAATGATTCATTAAAATCATAAACATGGATGTACTTAACAACATCAAAATCGCCAATAACTAAAACCACAAGTTACAATATAAACATGATTGTTAACTTAGAATTGAATGCGAAAACAAATAATGGAAGACTTGGACATATAAGCTCGAAATTCTGCCGAGACCTCAATGGTTATTTCGGGCACTAACCCGCAGGGAAGACCACCCTCAGTGCGCACTATCTCAATGACTTAGAGGACTCTTATCCCCGTACTAGAGCCAAACCCTAGCCATCTCAACTCAACAATGTTCCAAGATTCCAAAATTAAACCAAATAAGTTCACAACTTATACATAACTTATATAATGCATGAAAACACCTTCCATGCACAAGTAGGTTGAAACCACACAATCCATGCCTTAGAGTTTCAATTCTAAAATGACATACATAATGTCAATTACAAACTGTGCAATTCACTACACATGGCATCAATATATTCTATAAAGAAAACATGTTCTCATGAATATAAATATAACAACAAAGTTGTCCAATGCTCAAAACACAATCAAGTGAATACATAACAAGTTCAAGTCCATGATTTGAATATAGAAACAACTTCTAAAATACCAATAGATCCATGGAGCCATTAGATAGAATTTAATTAAACAAGGTGATTAAATTCTCTAGATTTCAAATAATCTCAAATTAATATATGTTAAGCAACATATCATGGTCTTTACATATATCAAATCAAAAGTGCAAGATAAGCAAGATATCATCAAATAGAATTTAATTAATTTAAATCAATTAAATCTCTAGATTTCAAAGTTGTCCAAATGATCTCAAATTAATTTATATCAAGCACTAAGTCATGGTCATACCATATATCTAGTCTAAGATGGATTACAAGCAAAACACAATTTACTAGAATTTAAACCAAATTAAATCCATTTAATCTCTAGATTTGAAAACTCATTTAAATTAACCCAAATTAATATATATATCAAAGATCAACTTATGGCCATGCCATTTACCAAGTCTAAAATGAGTTGTAAACAAATTACCATTAATCATAATTTCTCAAATTAATACACTACATGCATACAAGTTGTATAAGCATCAAAAACATGCAAGACAACAAGCATATAACCCTATAACATTCCCTACCTCACTAGAGAAGTGTCTCTCTAGAATCCAAGGCAAAATCAACACAAAATGGCAAACCCTTCTAGGGTTATGAAGAGGAAGATGAGGGGAACAAAATGTATTCCCAAGTTCAAGCTTGGAAATCAATGGAAGGCTCTCAAAAATCAAGGTCAAAGCTTAAGGCTTTAGGCTCCATCCATGGAGGCTAGGGTTTTCTTTACAAAAGAGGGAGGAAATGAGAAATGATGAAGATGAAATGTGAGTGGAGGGGATAGAGATCCTCCACTCACTATATGCTCTTACACTACCTCTCACACACACACTAATGCAAGATCAAATTGTGAGCCTACACTTGTCACAAATCCAAGGCTCCATCCTAGGCTAAATCTCAAGCCTACACTTGTCAACCATCCAAGACAACAAGTGCACCAATCCTAGGCCAACAAATGGTTAAATCTCCACCCTCCACATGTCCTCATCCAAGGCCTCAAAGTGTTTCCACACACATCACAACAAGTGGACCAATGAGAGTGTGACACTTGTCACACTTTCTGGAAATTGCAAAAAAATCCTTTTTGAAAATATCTTCCAAATTAAATTACAAAATGGTCCCTAAGACGAAAAATAATTACTTTACAGTAATTACACAAAAACCCCTAAAGTTTAGAAAATTACAAAAAGTCATGCATCTATACCCTTCACAAGAAAAGTAAGCACTTAGCATGCTTTTCTACAAAACTGAAAATACACATAGCATGGAATTTAAATATCATGGATGCATGCAAAACCGGAATCAAATCCGAACATGAAAAGTGAGGTTATGCTAACAAAGTGACAACCGAGAAAAAGACAAAAGTGAATAGTGTCACAAAATGAAAATGTGAAAATGACTCGGTCCTCAAAGGAAGTCGTCAATCCACGGAAAAGAGTCTCAGAAACCATCCCTGAGCACTCAAGATGACACTAAGTGACGAGAAACTAAACTCAGAAAGGAAAAGATCAACGGAAAAAAAATATCCGTGAAAATCTGAGAAAAGGAAAGGAAGGAAAATGACCGAGTCATTACATTGTTGTTGTGGGGCCTTCTGTTGTGGCGGAGGGTTGTTAAGTCCAGGTGTTACCGGTGGATCCATTAGGTCGTTCTGACGCTCTAGTTAAGGGGCGACCGGTGGATCCATTGGGTCGTTCTGACGCTCTGGTTGAGGGGCGACTGATGGATCCATTAGGTCGTTCTGACACTCTGGTTGAGGGGCGACCGGTGGATCCATTGGATCGTTCTGATGCTCTGGTTGAGGGGCAATCGGCGAATCCATTGGATCGTTCTGACGCTCTGGTTGAGGGGCAACCGGTGGATACATTGGGTCTTTCTGAAGCTTTGGTAGAAGGGCGACAGGCGGATCCATTGGGTCGTTTTGACTCTCTGGTTGAGGGGCGACTGGCGGATTAGTTTGTTGAACAATAATTTGGAGTTCTTCATTCTCCTGATGCAGAGCATTGATTTGCGTTATATTAGCCCTGTTGGCCTGCTTTAATGCAATTATCTCTTCAGTGCTAGCTTCATTGGCTTGCCGAAGGGCATCAAATTGCATTTACATCTCTTCGCGCATTTTCTGTATAACTTCTTGTTGTTGAACTTGCACGGCATCTGATCCTGTTGCCATTCCGGATCGATGTCGCATGAAAGTGATAATGGAAAGGCTTTTTGCAAACGCTTCCCACAGACAGTGCCAAAGTGTAGGTGCAAATTTTTACACCTGAACACTTAAGGAAAATAATAAGCTAAAAATCAAGAACTTAGAATAGATGTAAATGAATCAGACAGCAGAATAAGTATTTTCAGTGGAATTCGATGATCTTTTCTTTCTCATTCATCTTCTATTCATATGCCTTTACAGAGCTCTTTACCGTTTTCAGTGGTGGGCATTCACATGGTGCCTTTATTGCATGCCATTTACTTCATTGTGGGTGTTACACAGTTTTGAATGTAAATGGGAGTTATAAAGTTTGAATACAAATGGGTTGGGCTGCCTCTTTGGCCTGTTATTTTTATTGAATGGACTGTATTTAGCCAAGTGGGCCGTTTTGGCCTCCCTAAGGCCCTTCTTGATCGGGCTCCTGAGCTGTGTGGTCTGATTGGGCTTGCTTCTTTATAGTTGTTCTGCGGACATGTGGCATGTTATGATTGGTGGGGAAATTCTTCTCCACACTAAGCTAAGTCAGAAATTAATAACATAGAATTCATGCTAGTATTTCACTTGCATTTTTCAGTTACTATGAAACCATTTGGATTTAAGCAATTATATATATGGAGTAATATTTGCAGTTGGGCTGTAATGGGTCAAAAACTAGCCTAACAGAGGCACTTGGCCCAATAACATTAAGTAACCTGCCAAATAGACAATCCCAATATTATGTAAGAACAATTTGTAGAAATCTTCTTGAATATCTTCAACTATTCACTGTAAAATGCAATCCAGAATGTTTATGTCTTTCTAATTTTTGAATTTTCTACTTCTATGCTTGGATGAAGTTATGTTACTTGAAGTATTATTTTAATGAATTAAAACCATCACAACAAAATGATTTTCTTGAGTACTTTTTTTCCATTTAAGAAGAAAGAAATAAAAACAAACAAAAAAAGTATTTATAAAAATCTAGACAACAATTATGGTAGATATACATTTACTTTTCCCACACTTGAGATGATGTAATACATTTACACGTTCGCCATATAACACTTGTAATAATGAAGGCAAAGGAAACGTTTGTAAAATTTACTAGTAGCACCAATCAAGTAAAGAGCTGGGGCTAATTGATATGATATACATCTGTTGATTGTAATGATGATTGATGAATTTTGCAGGTTTCATTCCCTGTATTGGAGGAACTAAAGATAAGAGGATTGGAAAGCATTACATGGATATGGGATAACCAATTATTCTTAGGTTCAGAAGCAAAAGAAGAACATCATTTCAAGCTAAGGGACATAGAAGTAGAACATTGTAAGGAACTAGTGAATGTAATACCCTCCAATTTGATACCAAGGTTACAGAATTTGGAAAGTCTTGTAGTTAGATGGTGTGATTCGGTGGTATTAGTAGTTGAAGTGCTTATTATTGAAAAGGGGTCAGTAATGGAACTACCTCACTTAAAATCAATAGTTCTAGAGTCACTACCTAAGCTGATGCTCATGGGTTTGAACATAAAGGAACATTCTGATTATAAACCTAACATTGGTGCCTATTCAAACCTAACATCTCTCACCATTGAAGACTGTCATAGTTTGAGAAATGTGTTCTCATCATCTATAACAAAAAATCTTGGGCAGCTACAAGATTTGATAGTAATTTTTTTTTTTTTTACTAAATGGAGGAAATTTTATAGATATAAACAATAGAAATACAAGAAACACACAGGGCATACCCCAAAGCAAACACAACCTAAGCAAAGCAAACACAATCAAAAATCCAGAAACACCTTCAGGCATACCTAAAAAAGTAAAAACATCCCAAAAACCAAATGAAGATTTGATAGTAATAGACTGTGAGGATATAGAAAAGATAATTGCAATTGAAATAGGAGAAGGAAAAGAAGAGGTAGTGGATGAGGAGATCATTGTTTTCCCTCAATTAAAGAAAATGGATCTTAAAAGGTTGCCAAATCTCAAAAGTTTCTATGGGTCCAAGAAAGAAGTAGTGGAGGATGACAATATTCCTCAACTACCACCCCTCTTCAATTACAAGGAATGTATTTCCTAACTCCAATTTAACATATATGCATCATTCGCGTTTTTCATTTTACCTTCTTTTTAGCTCAATCAGTTCTTTTGTGCATATATAAATTTATTTCTTAATACATAGAATCTGTGCTATTGTTTTATTATCATTTTTCAATTCCTATGTAACAGGCAAGTTTCATTGGGATAAAAAAAAAAAGCATTTTGTTTTTTTGTTAGATTCCTATGGAATAATATTTGCAGTTGGGCTATAAAGGGTTAAAATCCAACTGAACAGAGGCACACTTGGCCCAACAACATTAAGTAACCTATAAATAATATTAAAGAGCTTATCTTTTTAAGCGTACACTTATATTATTACAATAATTACATCTACTAAGTTTAAATAAATGAATAGCTCTATTATTATTATAAGTGCAATTTTTTTCATAAGGACCAATATTATCTTTTTGGCAAAAATACACACGTGTCATTTTTTATAATTTTCTTTTTCTGTTTATTATAAAAATAATAATGATAAATCTATAGTGGCACCGACAATTCTCAAAATCTATAACATTGACATTTTTCGTTACATCTCTTAGTTCTTAGTTCTTTTGACAGTAAAATTTTATTTCTTAATAACATAGAATTCATGCTAGTATTTCATTAGCATTTTTCAGTTATTATGAAACCATTTGGATTAAAACAAGCGTTTATTTATTTTTTTTTCTTTTCTATTTTCTGGGGAGATTCAAGCAATTATATATATGGAGTAATATTTAAGCAATTTTATATATGAAGTAACATACCAAATAGATAGTCCCAATATTATGTAACGGAAGCCCATAGCCCTAAACAATTTATAGAAATCTTCTTAAATATCTTCAACTATTCAATTTAAAATGCAATCTAGAATGTTTATGTCTTTCTAATTTTTGAACTTTCTATTTCTATACTTGGATGAAGTTATGTTGCTTGAAGTATTCTTTAACGAAATAAAAGCATCACAACATTATGCTTTCTTGAGTACTTTTTTTCTATTTGTGTGAAGCTCCTCTTAGATAATGATGCACTGCATCATCACTATCACATATGCTATTTTTGCATGCGGCTCCTCTTACATGGTAATATTTTCTCACTTGGTGAAGACCTATATCATCACTATCACATATGCTAGTTATGCAATTATATTATTACAATAAGTACATATTTTAATTTTAAATGAATGGATAATCCAACATGTTCCATTATTATTATTATACGTGCAACTTTGTTTATAAGAAGGACCAATATTATCTTTTTGGCAAATTTTATTCCCACATATATATTTTTTTTATATGGCTCCAAAGAGTTAGGATTTTAGGCTTTAAATCAAGAGCACAAAGTGTGTTAGGTGTTGATATATCAAAAGTACATAGAAAAGCTTCCAAAATGGTGTAAGTGTAAGCGAGCCTTTTGTGGTTCATAAATTGATGAGTCCAGAAAATATATCCCTTGCATTTTGAAGTGATTGCAGTAAAAAATAATGAAGGGGAAAGAAACTTGTTTGCAAAATTTAGTAATAAAGTTTTGAAATAACGGACATAATGTAATATAATGAATTTGTAGGTTTCATTCCCTGCTTTGGAGGTGCTGGGGGTAACAGGATTGCGAAGTATTACAGCAATATGGGACAACCAATTATTCCTAGGTTCGAAAGCAGAAGAAGAATCATCCTTCCACTAGTTAAGGAACATAAAGATAATTGGATGTGAGAAACTAGTACATGTGATAATTCCAATTGAAACAGAAAAAGGAGAAAAAGAGGTAATAGGTGATGAGATTATTGTGTTCCCTCAATTAAAGAATATGGACTTGAAAGATTGTCAAAACTCAAAAGTTTCTATAAGTCCAAAAAAGCAATAGTCGAGGATAACAATATTTTCTAAGTACAAGCCCTCTTCAATTACATGATACGCACTATATATATATATATATATATATATATATATATATGTATGTATGTTAACATAACTTTATTTCTTAATATGTTCAAGTGGTTCATCCTGTAAATATTACACTTATATATAGTAGACATTGATTTAGTAAATTTCTAAAGAAAAGAAAAGAAAAAATGGGAAAATTAAAGCAATTATATATATGGAGATAGTATTAACAGTGGGGCCCAATAACAATAAGCAGTCAACCTAATAGACAGTCTAAGACTTGAACTATTGTGCAACAGAAAAGCTCAATCACGAAGCTTAAGAATTTATAAAATGTAGACCACATTTATATATAGTAGAAGAATATTCATACATGTATATAAAATGATTTATATATAGTAGAAGATTATACATACACGTATATAAATTGGTCAAGAACTATTTTGCAATTAATGCTAAATGAAATACGGAATACTATTCTTTTCACTTACTATTTTGAATTTAATCATTTAATATTGATCTTTGTTGCATACAAATTCAACTTGAATTGGAAACTTGAATGAAAAATTATAAGCATTAATTAATTGTCAAATTAAAGAATTTAAAGGGCTCCTTAGTCTTCTATAACAGAAGCCCATAGCCCTAAACAATTTATAGAAATGAATAAAATTAGCTATTTGCGTGAAACTCCTCTTAGATCATGATGCACTGCACTTATCTTCAACTATTATCAGGTTTATGTCTATTTTTGCATGCGGCTCCTCTTACATGGTAATATTTTCTCAATTGGTGAAGATCTACACCATCACTATCACCTATGTGGCTGTTATGACACATCATTGTTAATTAAAAAATAATAATAATAATAATACTATCCAAAAAAAAAAAAAAATGGGCCCACATGACTTCCATTCATTTTTTTTCTTTAACAGTCAAATATGATGTG